TGGTGGGGCTGAGATACACTTGCCCAATGGGTGGATGGGAGTAGGTGAAAAGATGCTGAGACCATGAAGGGTGCCCAGGTCGCCCGCCAGCGTCGACCAAGCGTTCGCTAACCGGGCGGAGGCAGCAAGCGTGGGGTGAAGACACGTGCTCCCGGCGGGCACCTTTTGCGCCCGCGGTGGCAATTCAAGGGGCCGTCCAGGGCCTCTTCAGGCCCCCCTCCTGCAATGCCCGACCCCCCCACACGTGTATTGCCCCCGGACCCCTCCCGAATGGTTCGTTTCGTTTTTGCTTCATTAATCGGCTCTCCAGCGGCCGTTCGGGACGATCCAGACATCCCCGGAATGCTCTCGGCGAGGCGCAGGTGCTGGAGAGCACCCCGAGGTTGGAAAACGGGGGGGAACCAACGAAAACGCCCGAAAACCTGAACCCGGAACCTCGAGTGCATCCCCCCTACCGTTGCCCTGCTGCCCCACCCCGCCGCCAGCCCGATTCGAGAGGTCGTTCGCCGCCCTGGTTCTCAGGGGCCTCTCGTCCCTGGCCCTTGCGAGGCTCGCCCCCCCCCCCCACGCCCACGTTTATTGCCCGCCCGAGTCGAGAGGTCCTACGCCGCCTGGTTCGGTCACACGCAACAGTGACCCTAGACAAGAGTGACGCTTGGTGAGCGGATTTTGAGGGGCCGCGGGGGGACCAAACCCAAGCGCGCAGGCCGCTGCTATCACGTCGCGTTCGGCCATCGGGGGGGCCCCAATGAACCCGCACCAAAGGTCACTCCGGCGCAGGGTCACTCTTGCGTGTAAACAACTGGGTCTTCGGGGATCTACTGACCCAGGTCAGGCGGGCTTTGCAGGATCCCGCGAGATCCTGCAGGAGCCTGCACGCAACCCCCGGTCATGGCACCCCTGGCTCTGCAGGGTCCTGCGAGATCCGGAGCTCTGGCTGACCCCCGTTTGCATGGACCCCCGTCTCCCGAGCCCCGAGTTCTCATCGGGCGGGTGGCAATGGGAGGTGACCCAAAGGGGGGGTGGAAAAAGGGCCCTAAAGGGGACCTGGCCCCTTTTGGGCACCAGCTGGCTCCAAAAGGGGCCCCAAAGGGCCCCTTTAGGGCTACGTTCTTCACCCCTCATTTGGGCCACCCCCCATTGCCACCCGCCCGATCTCAGGGGCCTCTCGTCCCCCGACCCGGTGCCTCGGGCTTCTCGCCGCTGCGGCGGCGCGCCGCACTCGGCGCGCTTCGCGGCAATCGCTCGGGGTTCGGCACGAATGCTGCCCTCCTCAACCGAGGCGCGGGGCCGCTGGCGAGGAAGGCCGTGTCTTCTGCGGCGGGAGGGGCTGTTCACTGGCGGCGCGCACTGGGGTCGACGAGGGGATCGACTAACAGAATGGATCGAACCCGAAAAAGATTTGCCTGTCGGATCTGCGAAAAGTGTGCAGAATGCTCAGTTGATCTCGGAGCACCCTGCGTATCTCTCGTAGACTCGACGGCAACATGACTTTCTGGGGTGAATCAATTCCGTAGTCGATCACCGACTCGAAAGGGGGGGACGGGGAGGGGGGAAGGCTTCTTAGGAGCCTTCCCCTCTCCCCCTGCCACCCTCTGCGTGTGGCTGAGGGGCTGTTCGTGCGAGGCCGGGATCTCTCCATAAACGCCCCCTGGACATGGTTATTCGGGTGCTTCGGAAGGCGGGGCATATATATATATATATATGTATAGTATCCATACCCACCAACGATAATATATATATATATATACACATTGTATATACATACATATATATAGGTGTTATATATGTATATATATATATGTGTGTATATGTATCTACATATACGAATATTTATATGTATTTATCCATATCCACCGCCTGCCAATGCCCACGGAGATCGATACCCCGATTCCGGAAGAAGAACAACAACCGAACTATATAGCAGCTGTCGGAGGCCCGCGCAGACATCTTGACTTCTCGGATCGGCGCTGGACCCCCCATCCACGGCGCGCGGAGCAGCCGCTCGGTTCGGACAAGCTGAAATACAGCAAAAAAACACAAACATCATCTGGAGGTCCGCGCTGATGTCTTGGATGGGTGCTGAGCCCCCTCCGTGGCGGGCGGAGCGCGCCACAGTCCCCCCTCCATGGCGAGCGGAGCCTGGCAAAGACCGCGCCAGAGGCGCTTCCAAGGGGGGCCCAGGACATCCGCGCGGACCTCCGACGATTTCTGTTGCAGCGTGTTCGGGTCTTCGAGAACCTTGCTGCAGGGTGCGTCGCGACAGGGGCAGCTCAAGCTGGATCTCCAGACCACCCCTGGGCTCCGGACGCACCTGTGACTCGAGTGCGACGAGGGGGTGCTCCCGAGGGCCAACTACATGTGTCTCAACTGGTCCTCCTCTGATCCTTGATTTTCTTCGATAGAGTGCGAGGCGGGGATTTATCTATATCCACCGCCTGGGAACCGACGTCCTGGTGCCCCAGCGGGCGGTGGATATGTATATATTTCGGCCCCCGGGGGCCTGAACATGTCCATATCCACCGCCTGCCGAGGCTCCGAAAACCGACCCTCCAAGCGGTGGATATGGATCAATTCCCGCCTTGGATGGAGGGGCCAGAGAACAGGTGGTTTTCGGGCCACAACTCGGGCCTCTTGCGGCCGTTCGGGGCGATCCGGGCAATCCGGGAACGCTCGCAGCGAGGCGCAGCCGCTGGAAAACACCCCGAGGCTGAAAAACCGTCGAGAACCGACAACAGCGCAACGGAAAACTTCGAACCTCGAGCACGAACCGTTGCGCCCTCAAACCTATGCCTCTGACCGTTCTGTTCCTCGAGAGCCTTGCCCGTTCGGACGTGAGCGCCAGGACACGTTCCAAGTGGCGCGCGAGCGCCATCCTGCCGTGCACCACTCGGGCGGGTGTTACGGAGGGGGGTGACCTGATGGGGGGGGAAGAGAGGGGCTAAAGGGGTCCCCTAGGCCGCCTTTTTTGGAGCCCAGGACCCTCAAGGGTTCCTTCAGGGCCCCTTTCTTCACTCCCCTACTCAGGTCCCACCCCTCGACACCCGCCGGAACCATGAAGGGCCGGGGGACCCACACTGGGTGCCGTTGCGGCCCTCGGAGCGAGGCCGATCCGACCCCCTCTCGCTCCAGGTCCTGCCGCTCGTCCTCGTCTTCGCTGTGTCGTCGTCGTCGTCGTCGTCGTCGTCGTCGTCGTCGTCGTCGTCGTCGTCGTCGTCGTCGTCGTCGTCGTCGTCGTCGGGATGGTCGTCGTCAGTCGTCCTTTCCTCCTCCTCCTCCTCCTCTGCGTCTTCATCCTCCTCCTCCTCCTCCTCCTCCTCCTCCTCCTCCTCCTCCTCCTCCCCCATTCCTCCTCCACTCCTCCTCCTCCTCCTCCTCCTCCTCCTCCTCCTCGTCCTCCTCCTCCTCCTCCTCCTCCTCCTCCTCCACCTCTCGCTCTCTGCCGCCAACCCGAGCGCACAGACATCGGGCGCCGAGCCCTCCCACGCTGAGATGGCGGCCTCGGCTGGCTTGTTGAGCACGGTGAGGTTCTCGTGGTGGACGTTAGGAGGCAACTCCTGGGAAGTCTTCCTTGGAACGATTCAGGGCGACTCAGCCCGATTCAGGGGGCCACTTCACAAGCTGGATTGAGATGGATTGCTGGGTCGAGCCAAATTCGCGCAGATTAAACCGATTATCGACCGCGACAAGAACAGCACCGATGCAGAATGTACCCATGTCCCCCCCCCAGGAGTTGCATCCTAGTGAATGGACTTGATCCGCGACTCCTTCGGCTCGGGCTTACCCTTCCGTGACGCCTCCTCCACGATCACGATGACTCTGCCCGCCTCCTCGTCGTCGAGCCTCGCCCAAGGGACAAGCATGGGGGCGCGTCGGGAGACCAGCGGAGGGGGGAGGAGAGAGGGGGGCGAGAAGGAGATGAGAAGCGGAGCAGGAGGGAAACAAGGCAAGGGGTGGCGAAAGCGTGTTTCGGCCCCGAGCCTCGGGGCCGCGGCAAGGGGCCAACCTTTGAGGCCGAGACTGCAGATCCCTCTGAGACCCCTGCCTTACGTGGAAACCGCTGAGGGCGATGGATGGATGGTTGACAGAAGAGGCATCTGCTACTCTGATGCATAGGCATGGGAGCTGTCGGAGTCGTTCGGACCTCAGAAAATGCATGTTCATGCCAAATGATAAATCTTCACGTTCAGCATCTCGCGAAGACACAGGGATCACCCTGGGTGCTCTGCACCCGACCCTCACCGCCCAAGTAAAGGAGGACACCACACTCGACACAACAAGCAAGATAAGAACCAAGAAGATAGGCCTGTGGAGCAGGTCCTGAGCCGAGATGGCTCGACCGATGAGGGTGTAGAACAACATTTCTGTTTCAGCAGTTCCCGTGCTTTCGTCGAGATGGGATGGAGGGCAGGAGGGAGAGGGAGCTAGGAGGAGAAGGACGAAGCCAAGGATAACGAAAGAAGACGAAAGAGAAGAGAGCGCAGCGCGCATGAGGCGCTGCAAGAGATGGCAACGGGGTCGCGAACAGCATAAGCAGTAAAGAAGTGGCAAATCGAAGGAGAATCTCGAGCGCTGCCACCAACTCTCAACGCCGAGTCGTCCAACGCTGCTCTTTCCCAGCCTCTCCGTCATGCTCCTTCGCTCGGAGAACACATGATGACATGAACAGAAACTTTCGGAGGTCCGCGCAGGGGTCTTGGATCCACGCTGGACGCCCCTCCTTGTTGCGCGGAGCGCGCCAGGGGCGGCGCCGCAGGCACCGCCAGGGGGTCCAGCGCCGATCCGAGAAATTTGTCCGGAGCGCCGAAAATTTATGTTTATGCCATTGACAATTTTCTAGCAAGCATGCATAGAGACGTGGGGTTACGTGTCCATCATGGTCCTCCGCTCGACTCTCCCCAATCATGCTCCTCCGCCCCCATTCTTCCGCCTCCTCCCTCTCCTCACTCTCCTCATCACGCGGCCTCTGCACGATCGCCTTCTCCCCGTTCAGCGCGGGGTCACCAGTGTTGTTCCTCCCCTTCTCCGCGACGAGTCCTCCAATCTCGACGCGGCTGCCAGCAGGGAAGGTCCTTGCCACAGGGGGCGAGGACAAGGGGGAAAGGCAGGGCGAGGAACAGGAGCACGAGCAGGTGCAAGATCGGCAGGATAGGGAGGGGGAGGAGGGGAACTCAGCGTGAATGTGGCTCTGATGCTTGTGCAGCACGGGTGGGGAGAGAAGAACGGAGCGGAAAGCGTGGGGAGTGGGAATCGAAAGGGCAGGCGGCGGCGGCGGAGGCGGATGAGGAAGAGTACTAAGATCATGGGTGAGACCAGGGAGCAGGAGAAAGGGATGCGGGGCAGGCGCGAACGAGAGAGAAAGAGAGCGCGCGCAGAGAATGCGGGCAAGAACGGGGCAATGGCCCAAACCGCCCCCCCCCGGGCCCGCGGGCCCCCACACGGGCGCGAACAGCTTCCAATAGCAAGCCTGTCGACTGCTTGGGGCTCGAATTCCACACAGGAAGTTCCCCAGCCTGTGCTTGCTCCTGGGGGTTCCGACGACGTTTCTAAGGGCCTTCTCCTCCACCTCGTCGCCGCCCGTATGCTGGGCCTGCCTGTGGGTGTGGCAGCTATGTGGCGGCCGTCGCAGCCCCGACGCTCTGGACCTCTGGGCATGCGCAACGTTCCATTGTTGAGCCTTACGTTGCACTGGTTTCCAGTGCGTTGTATTGCTTGATTTGCATTGCTCTGCACTGCTTTACACGAATGTGCATTGCGTTGCCTTGAGTTGCACTGCTCGGCGTTGCATTGATTTGCACTGCTTGGCATTAGTTTGCATTGGTTTGCATGGCGCTGCATTGCTCTGCATTGTTTCGTATTACGTTGCGTTACTTTGCGTTGCTTCGCGTCGTGCTATTGCAGTCGCACTGCTTTACAATCACATTGCGTTGGACTGGTTGTAAATGGTTTGCAGTATCTTGCGTCGCTATGCCGTGCCTTCCATCACTTTGTTTTGCTTGGCAGTGCTTTGCATTGCTGTGGGTTGTGTTGGACTGCTGTGCTTTGCATTGGCTTGACTTGCGTTGCATTATGTTGCGTTGCTTCGCGTTGCGTATTACATCGCTTGACGTTGCTTTATGTGCGCTGCTTCGCGCTGCTGTGAATTGATGTGCGTTGAGTTGACTTGCTTTGCCTTACTGTTCATTGCGGTGATTTTGATGCTTTGTTTGCACAATCTGTATTGCATCACCCAGGTTGCACCGCACACAGTGTTTACAGTCTGTGCATCTCAAAGGTTGCACCACATAAATTGCATCAATGGTACGCTGGAACACACTGTTTGGGGTCTACGCTGGCTAACATGTATCATCAAACAACTTATTCAAGCCAGGCGATTTGGCATTTGGACCAGAATTCGGCAAACTAAAGCGCGCTGTAGGGTACCACGTATGCGTTGCGGTCGATTGAGAAGGAAGGGGGGGGGGGGGGGGGGGGCAAAACCCTGGAGCGCTCAGATGCGAGCGCAACCCCACGCCGCCTGCGCCGACGCGAGACCGAGCTCAATCCCATAGGACAATTACCGGGCCCCCTTTGAGCCACCACAGGCCACTCCCGCGAAGGGTCACTCTTACCGACGATTCGGCCTCTTGCCGTCGAGCCAAGCGGCGCGCGGCTCACTGGCATCAGACCCGGCACCTGTTCTGCAACTTTGATGAGGAGGGACGTCTTTGTTCACCCTGCCTCTCCCCCGGCTGTACCGCAAGCTTGGGCGTTGAAGGGTGGCCCGGCCATTCTCCTCTCGTAAGATCATCAAACCTCGACGTCACAAGGCATCGTATCACAGGCCCAGGCCAAGTGCTGGATTCAACCGCAGGGTCGGGCTCATGCTACGGGTCTGTGTATCCGGTGCGCGGGCGCCAGATTCGTGGATCGGCAGAAAAAAAACAAAACACGGAGTCAGTGCCGCCCGATCTGGCGAGGGGGGAGGGAGGGGCGCGGGGCGCAACGTCAAGGGGGGACAGGCTCTGGTAGGGGGAAACATCGACCTGGAATCGGCGATGCATCGATGGCAGCTCGGCCATAAGCCCCCGATAGCAAATCCGCGCATTCCTGGGCGGGGAAGGGCATCGGGCCCCTGCCGGCGATGAGTGGACGATTGGGGGTCGATGCGTCCCACCTGAGCCTATTCTCCCCCAACGTTGACCCTGATCCGTGCTTGCGCCTACCTGACAAGGAGTGCCCAGGGGAGGGAGGGAGGGGGAGCGAGAGAGGAGTGGAGCGAGGTGGACGCCATCAAACTGTGATCCAGGTGTGGCTACCTTGATGCCCTAGCTGGCTCGCGGCGAGTCAAAGCCTTCAGCCATAACCCGTTGGCAGGGTACTCCCGACGGGCATCCGAAGCCACAAACAGAATGCAACAAGGGGAGCGAGAGGGGTGGAGGAAGGGTGGTGTCTGCCATAAACGTAAGCTTTCGGAACTTCGCGCGGAGTTCTTAGATCGGCGCTGGACCGCCCGGGGCGGCGCTGGAGGTGCCGCCAGGAGGGCCCAGCGCAAATCCAAGAAATCCGCGCGGAACTCCGAAAGCATAGGTTTAAACCGTAAGTTGTGCCTCGAGAGAGGGAGGGTACGGACAGGGCAGGGGGAGCGAGGGAGGTGAGCATCGTTCAACCGCCCCCAATCCCCATGGGCGTGGCCTGGGCCGCACTGGCCCGTTTACCTCCCCAGATGGGGTTATTAGCCGTTTCCTGGGATACAGGCCGTGTCCTTTGGGTCTCGAGGGGCATATCCCCAACTGGCGGGGTGAGATGGCGGGGATCTGGATGGGGATCCCTGAGGAGCTTCTTCTTGAAGAAAACAGGCAAGGACCAGAAACCAGAAATTTCTGGTTGAAACAAACAACAAGAATTTCTGGAAACACAAAAAAGAAAGAAACCCAAATCATCATACAACACAAACATCAACGCACTATGGACTAGAACTCAAGCGCAATGCGGTTTTCGGTGCCGCATTGCGGGCTCCTTGTAGACGATGTCAAATGGGGATAGAGGTCGGTCAAACGATGTTGAGGACCGAGACGGGGCGCGGGAACTGTCCTCGCCACGAAGGCCACGAGCTTCCGGCGCGCCTGCCGCCGACCGGGCACGCGTCCGCTCTCCGGCGGGCTCGGGCCCGCGCGCGCGCCTCGAAGCCGGGGACCGGGACAAAAACCGGATCGGGGCAGATCGTCGGGCGGGTTTCGGCGGTGGACAAGCCTCCCTTTAACAAACTTCCCCTGAATGAGAACGGCCTGGGACTCGGACCGAAACCGACGGACCTGGGCCCGCGAAAATGACGGCCGCGACGCCCTCTCGCGAACCGAAAACGGCCAATTCCCTAATCGACGTGTCAGGGTAGGAGGTCTATCCACCTCCGAGTGTTAAGGGGGGGTGACCTGAGGGGGGGTGAAGAAAGGGGCCCTGAGGGGGCCCTTTGGAGCCAGCATGGGGTTCCAAAGAGGCACCTCTTTGGAGCTCCTTTCTCCACCCCGCAATTGTGTGAACCCCCCCCTCAACACCCGCCCGAGATCGGGGTATCTCTGAGACCCGGCGGCTCTGGGGGAAGCGTCGGGCGCCGCGGCGGCTCCCGAGCGCTCTTCGAGCGCCCTGAGAGCGTTCCTGGAGCGAGCTGTTCTGGTCCTGGTCCTGCCCCCGATGCTTCCCCCTCCCCCTGGAGCACTGGGACCGCCTGCTGCCGCTGCTCCTCGAAACCGTGGGGCCCCCTCCTCCCCATCCTCATCTTCCTGCCTTGCGTCTTCTGCGCCACTGTGCGGAGGAAAACGACTTCGCAGGACAAACGAAAAGGACCCAGCTTCCGTCCTCGCCCTCCTCCTCCTCCTTCCGCCTGAGGGGGAACGATACGGGAGAACTGGCTCAGGGGGGAAGCATAACCTTGGAATCGGCAATGCGCCTGCCTGCGCATCCACCGCCCGAGACAACCGACGACGTGATCTTTTCAACGCGCGGCCCCATGAGGGGGTCCGACCCCATTCATGGGGGTGGTTGCGCGTCCTTGATCCGTTCTTGATGGCCCCCGGGCCCGCTAAACGGTCCCAAGAGGTCGAAGTCGAGGAAAAGTGCCACAATTGAACAAATCCAAACTTCGAAGATCTGGTTCGGCTCATGACTCGGGTTTCCGGCGGCCGTTCGAGACGATTCGGCCACACTCGGAACGCTCTCGGCGAGGCGCAGCTGCTGGAAAGCATCCGATTGCCCTGAAAACCTCCGAAAACATGAAACAACTATAAACAAAATCCGATACGACTGGGAAGCGACCGTCGGAGCATAGGTCCTCCTCCTCCTCCTCCTCTTTCCGTCTGAGGGGGGGAATGCACGGGAGGACTGGCTCAGGGGGGAAGCGTGCACTTGGAATCGGCCATGCGTCGCTGATACATCGGTCATAGGCCTCCGATAGCGAAGCCGCACGTTCCTGGTCGGAGTGGGATATCGGGGCCCTATCGGCGATGAGTGTGCGATTGGGGTCAATGCCTTCTCCGCTGGCCCTATCCCTCCCTACCGTTGGCCCCCTGGTTTTCCAGTCACAACTCGGCTCTTCGGCGGCCGTTCGGGGCGAGCCGGGCACCCACAGACCGCTCTTGGCGAGGCGCAGCCGCTGGACCTCATTCCGAGGCTGGAAAACCAGTGAGAACCGGCGAAACGTGCGATAACCTTGACATTGAAGCGTTTCGTCCCCTCGAGCCTAGAAACGTTCGAATCTGGAGGAGGGGGAAGGTAGGAGGAGGAGGCGGAGGAGGAGGTCAATTCAGCGCTTGCTCCTGACTTGCTCGCTTGCGCGCCTAACCACTACTGGTCTGATTGCATTACGATATCAATGCGCTCTCTAATTGCTCGCGTCAGCAGGATCCATGTCGTACGCATGCAATAGTGGCTCAATTCTGAAGACAATATTGCAACTGCACTATACCTACACCGTCGTTGGGATGCACCGCTGAAGAAAAAAACGACGTGAACAGAAACTGAGCGGAGTGCCCCAGGTATGACGTGAACAGAAACTGAAACTGAAAAAAAACGTGACAGAAAACGGACTGGGAAAGAATAGCTCTACACTCTTCTTTCCCAGTCAGGCTGAATGGGCCACTCGGAGGAGGAGAAGGAGGATCAATGTAACCCCAAGAACAATCAACGATGATGCAACACACCCTCCCCCTAAGCTCCCTCCGCACAGTCCCTTCAAGCATTCATGTTCATTGCGGGAAGCGCCAACATAAAAGACGACCGTCTGAAAATCCACAATTATTCGTGCCAAAATGCAATTCCTGGAACTTCAACGTCTGGACAAAACGTGGCAGACGAGTCCTGATAATACTGAATCGTACGCACCAGAACACGATCTCTGGGACTTCAACACCGCGAATCAACATGACCGTTAGGTCCTGACAATCCTAAACAGCGGCAAATCACAATTCCTGAGACTCCAACCCGGGAAACCCTGAAACTGCTGCAGAGTCCACCGAACGCGCGCGGCGCCAAGGCGAGAGCCACACCCCGAAAAGGACCCGACCCCCATTCCCGAAGCCCCCTGCTGCAGAGATCAAGCTTCAGGCTGATGGGTGGTCAAGAAGTCCCAGGCGGAAGCGCCCAGTCCGCCCTACCGACACGTGGAAGCGGGAGGGGGGACGAGAACGAGGAAGGACTCGCTCAGGGGGGAGACACTCTCCCCCGAGTCCATCCCCCCTAGCGTTGCCACTGGCAATCCCGGCCTTCTTACAAGCCCGAACACACACATACAGCCAGCGGCCATCTGCTCCCCGGGCAAGAGTGACCTTTGGTGCGCGGCTTCTTGAGGGCCGCAGGGGGGCCACACACGAGCGCGCAAGGCGCTGCTGCCGCATCGCGCTCGGCGATCGGGGGACCCCATTGCGCCCGCACTCGAGGTCACTCCGGCGAGAGTTCAGCCTTCCCTGCAGTCGACCGCCCCCCCTGGAAAAGCTTGCGCGGGCGGCGCGCCACGGGCGCCGAGGCAAGCGAGGGGGGCGGAGGGGTGCAGCAGTCCGTGCGCCGATCACTGCTTGACTCCTCCTCCCTCCTACTCCCTCCTCCTCCGCCCAGGACGAGGAGGGAGGAGGAGGGAGGGAGGAGGGAGCTTCCCAGGATCGAGAGAGGAGCTTCCCAGGATCAAGAGGAAGAGGAGGAGGAGGGAGCTTCCCAGGATCGAGAGAGGAGCTTCCCAGGATCAAGAGGAAGAGAAGGAGGAGGGAGCTTCCCAGGATCCAGAGACGAGCGGGGTGCGCGAGCCCGCCTGCCAGCCCCCGTCGATGCCAATGGGGGCCACCCAGCACCGAGGCACCAGGCGGCCCAGAGCACCAACACGACAGGGCGGGCGGGGAAGGAGGAGGAGAAGGTGGAGGAGTGATCACGAGGAGGAGGAGGAGGAGGAGGAGGAGGAGGAGGAAGAGAACAAGCAGCATGGTGAAGGATGAAAGGGATGGGGTATGACGGGGAGGAAGGGGGGGGGGAATGGTGGAGGGAGGGGGGTCGAGTGGGAGGAGGGGTGGCTGAGGGAGGGCGATGGGGAAGGGAAGGAGGGGACGCTGGCAACTCCTGGGAGATGCTGCAGATCACTGCGGCCGACTGGCCGCAGTGACCTCCAGCATCTCCGCAGTGACCTGGAGCAAGAAAATACAGAACGAGGAATGTTCGGTCCACGCGGAGCTCTTGAATCGGAGCTGGACCCCCTCCATCACGCGCGCGGAGCACGCCAGGAGGGGCGCTACAGGCGCCGTCAGGGGGGACCAGCGGAGATCCAAAAGATCCGCGCGGGCCTCCGAACATCTATGTTTACGTTTACGCAACTTCTTCTTCTTCTTCCTCCCCCTCGTCGAATGTGTCCCCCCCTCCGCCCACACCTCTTTTGGATGTGGATCCAGGCCTGGTGGCCTCAGGGGCTGTCTGGCGGTCTTTCTCTTCGTCCCTCCGCCCTCTCCACCTCGTCATCCTCGCCCTCCTCCATTTCCCCGTCCTCGTCTTGCTGCTCGTGTGTGTGGGGGCGGGGAACGTCAAGGGGGGACCAGCTCAGGGGGGAAACATCGAGCTTGAATTGGCGATACATCGCCGATTTATCGACTATATTGACGCCCCCGACAGCGAAAGCGTACGCTCTAGGGTGGGAGCGACCATCAGGCGCCCATCGGCGATGAGCTGGCGATCGGGGGTCGATGCATCCCCCCCTGAGGGTGGCCGCCCCCTAGCGTTGCCCCTGATTCCTGCCCTACTTTTCTTTCTCCCCCACCCTCTTGGCGGCGCGTACAAGGGAGTGGAGGGAGGGGGGGTGGCTTCTCAGAAGGCGCCGGGCCTACATCTGTAGATAAGGCCCGCTCCTGCTAAGAAGCAGGGTACTTCTAAGAAGCCCTCCCCCCTCCTCCCCCCACATCTGCGCGTGGCTGGCCCTCATCTGATAAGCAAAACAAGTTCCCTTGATCCTTTGTGAGGGGACCTAACTTAGGAGGAGCAAGCACAATTTGGATAGGGGGTCTTTCTGCCGATGTGTCAAACAACATGTTAGGGATATCCCGAGAACACGCGGTCCGAACTTAGGCCACGAATACTGTGTGTTATCAGGGTTCGGGGTTGTACTACATGTACTTTGCTTAATGAATCCTCCTCCCTTGGACGTCGCGTAATTTGGGGACGATAAATGGGGAGGCCGCGAGGACTACAACAAAAACCCTACAGGGCCCCTACAGGGCCCCTGCAGGGACCCTTGAGGGCCCGAAAGGCGGCTTCGGGACTCGAGAAATGTACTTGTCTTCATGCCACACTTGTCGCCCCCCAGTGGAGCGATGCCCAATTCCCGGGGGGCACGGCAGGGCAGGATCGCAAAAGGCAGGGTAGAGAATCAGCTCACGCAACTGGTCTTCCTGGCGCCTCCTGGCGCCAGGATGCGCCCACGCATGGAGGAATGGGCCTGGTGGCGGAGCCGAAACCAGCTGCGTGCCACAGACTTCGTACCCCTCCCCATTTCCCTACCCTCCTTCCCTTTCGTCCCGCCAGGACCCCCTGGCCATCGCTCGGACGTCCATTCCCTGTGTTTTTGTTCGGTTTCGTGCGTGGTTCTTTCGCCAAGTGATCAAGGATGCTCTTCGATGGTCCTCGCCGACGGAAACATGCACACGTCCGAGCGATGACAAGCCCTTCCTTCTCCGAACCGCCGGGCCTGCTCGAAGGGGTCGACGGGCGCCTGCGGCGGCCCTTCCGCCGCCGCCGGCTCCTCGGGCGCCGGCTCCGCCACGGCCAGCACCAGGTTCTCGGCTTTCAAGGCCTGCCGGGGGGGGGAACCCGGCAAGCAACCCCGCGCGGGCGCAGAAAGATGCAGTCGGACCTCGGACAGAAGAACACACATCCAAGGGTACACCCCCCGGATACACGGGGACATCCAGCAGACACGAACAACATGTGGGTCGCCTCCCCGACCCGACCCCGATCTTGCACCTCGGTCCGGCCGTCTTCGTGTCCGCGGCCTGGCGGGCCTGGCCCCTGGGCCGCGACCCCTTGCATCCGGGGCGCTGTTTCGCGGATGCCCTGCGCGGGGCGTGGTTGTCCGTGCGACCGTGCATCCGCGGGCTCGCGCCCCGGAGTCAAGACCACGAGGGCGCGGATACGGATATGATCGCCGCTCGTGATTCCCGGAAATCTTCGTAGGAACGAATTAAAACTGCCAGGCCCGACCAAAAGGCCGGATTAAGCCGGGTTGCCCCTTAGACCACGGTGGACCAAGCGGGATGAAATGGAACATGGCAGGGTCAGGCCAATTTCGGCCACGGATATAGCAGGGCAAATGCTGAATTCAATCTCCTGGGGCTTGCAACCTCACGAGATGGTTTTCCAGTGTTGCCAGACGAGAGAAAGGGAGAAAGAAAGAGAGATAGAAAGAGAGAGAGGGAGAGAGAGCGAGAGCGAGAGAGAGAGAGAGAGAAAAAGAGAGAGAGAGAGAGAAAAACAAACAAAATAACAACACAAAAGAAGCGCGCAAGCAAAGGCGAACGAAAACACATATGCAGTCCAAAGACACGGAGTGCGCGCGCAACGGGAGGGCACACAGCGGCATAAAACGACTTCGAGCACAAACGCGCACAACAACATGCACAGTGGCAAGTGGAAGCGTAAGTGAAGGTACATGCGCGCACGCATACAGTGGAATGTCTGTGGGGGGCACATGTGGAATGGCAGACGCAGGTGAAAGCACGCGCGCACAGACAATCAAACATACAAGGACAACCGCGAGCGTGATTACCAGCACGCGCACACTTGCAAGTGCTACAGCAAGGGCGAATACAGTTACAAGAAAAAACGATACTGGGGAAAAACCCAGTCACAAAAGACGCTGCCCTAGACAGCTTTGCGGGGGTTGGGGAGAGCGCTGCCCATTAGGTAGGCCCGCACCCGCGGGGCGCGGCGGACGCCCCGCGGGAGCGCGCGGTGATGAGGAAAGGAAAACGCCGCCGCCGCTACCGCGGCAAGCCGACGCGCGCGCTGAGCGCGCAGGCCTCGCGATTGGCCGTTGCGCGCCCCCGCGCCGCGCGTCGTGCGCGGGGGCATATATATATATATATATATATATATATATATATGCCCACCCCCCGCTGCGGGGAGAAAGTCACGAAGGGGGCCAAGACCCAGAACGCGAAGTGCACGAGGACCTGAGCGCGCCCTCCTCTTCCAACCACTTTACCCGACCGCCCCGCCCGCCCCCCCCCCGCGGGCCGCGCGGCGATTCGCGGTGCCCGCGGCGGGGGGGGGGGCTGAGAAACGCTGCTAGGTGCGCGTTCTTGTGACAACGAACAAAACTGCGTAGTGCCCTGACTTGTAATATGTTTAGGGCTTGGGGGCTATAGAGCTATATGGGCTATAGGGATATTGGGTAGTAGATCTACAGGGCTATAGGGCTATAAGGTGTAGGGGTATAGGGCTATAGAGCTCTAGGGCTATACGGCCATAGGGCTATTGAGCTAGAGGGCTACAGGTCTATGGAGCTATAGATCTGTAGGGCTATGGGGCAATTGGGCTATAGGGCTATCGGACTATTGGGCTGTAGGGCTATCGGGCACCCCCGGGCACGCCCGGGCACCCCTGGGCACCCGGGAACCCGGGCGCGCAGCGAAATTCGGCGGCAAACCTAACCTAACCATATGAATCCGCGAGGGCCCCCACAGAGGCAAGCTCTGATTGGGGAACAAACGTGCGAGCGCAATGCTCGGGGCAACGCCCGACCAAAGGCATCCACACCGAAGACCTGCGGGGACTTCAGGTGTCGCTGCTGGACGGTCCTAAGATGGCGGTGCCGTCGCTGAAACTCTCGGGCCCAGCTGGAGGCGCATCCCGGAACGCGCGCAATTGCAACTGCATGCGCGCCGACACGGGCAAGGAGGACAATACATAAGAAGAAATACAAGGACAAGGATCGCGCGACAATCCAAATGACTTAACACTTGGAATGCCACGCGTTCTCGTGGAATCAAAAAAAGTAATAACGATAACCACTTCCCCCCTGCAGGCCGAGGGCACGAGGGCAAGTTGCAGCGCGCGCATCCACGCAGCCACGCCACGTTGAAAGGCAAATCCCACAACGCCTCCCTACTTTCTCGCAGAACCGCCCGCTCGCAAAGCGCGCGGGGCGCTGATGGGCAACCCGCGCGGGGGCCCGTCGCAGCGGGGGGGGGCGGCGCGCGGGCAGGGCAGGCGGCCCCGCCTGTCTCCTCAGGTCAAAGACATAATAAACGGCCCAGGGACATCCCGAGGCACTCGGTGCTGGTTTGCCTTGTGGGCCGCCTGCGGCGCCTTGGCGACGTCCTCGGCTTCGAGGAAGGCGCCGTGCGCCTTGCTAACGTCCTTGCTGACATCAGGCATCAAGTTCCAGGGCACCTGTGGCTCGATGGTGCCGGTGAAAGCATTTGCGCGCGCCCGTGACCTTCGAGGTCGGCGTGGAAACGACCGTGCGCCCCACGGCCGCCTTGACGGCCGCGTAGGTCTTCCATGGGGGTCACGCCGCGGGCGCCCATGCTCGTGAGGGCCATGGCGTGCGCCTTGGCCCCAGTCTTGAGCTCGTCGGCGCCAATCTTCGAGCCCCTGACGCTGGCCTTGTTCGCGGCCTTGAGAGCCTGCTTCGCGGCGAGCCGGGGGAGCGGCTGGAAGCGCAGGTCTGACTTCCAATGGGTCTTCTTCAGGAACGGGTACGAGGCCTCGGACAGCTCCTTTGCAGCGGCGCCGCCTGCGTCCCACGATAGAAAGTCAGGGGCCTGGCCGGTCTGGCTGGCCTTGCCGACGTCTTTGAACTCGAGGAAGCCGTCGAGCGCTGCGTCGGCCGCGGAACCCTTGGCTGCGCGTGCGCGGCCCAGCGGGGGGGGCCAGGGACGCAATGAAATGAGAAGAGGCGCCATGAAATCTCGGGAAATATCGTGGCCCACGTCATGATATCCCCCCCCCCCAGTCATCACCCCCCTCTTTGCCGCCCCCGACTGGGCTGAGGATTTCAAGTGCGCCGGCACTCCTGGGTCGGTAATCTTTGCGAGGGCGCTGTCGGCCTCCATCGCGGTCTCCTCGGGCACCGAAGGCGGCACTCACCTCGTCCAACGCTTCGCGCGTGGCCGCGCCGTTCTCTGCGGCGCCGATGCTGAGGATGGCTTTGTGGCGGGCC